AGGCAATCTTGCTGGATACAGAAGTAGACGCCGAAGTGATTCGAAATCACTGCTAGCGGGACAATAAAAACATCGCAATATCAACACTGAGCAATGCATACACGCGCCGTTTTCAAAACGGCGCGTGAGAGTGTCACGTAAAGAAACACGAGTTTCAGTTGGGATAGGGTCTCTAGAGAGAGCCAAACATACGTTCTAGATTATAAAGCACAGTGAGCCACGCGGTATTCGAGACACACTCATCCATCATTAAACAATAAAGAAGTTTGACGGAATGTCTTGATCATGCTGAGTGCTGTGTTGAGTCCAAGCTTTTTAGAACAGCAGCATGCACCTACTCCAGGTGTGTAGTGGGTTATTATTATTATTTTTTGAGTCATATACTAGGACGCCTAATAGTCTCTCAGTTACTTATTTAGAACAAGGGTTCGGATAATTTTTAACGTTCACGGTTGGCGCAGAAGTTGGCAAACCTATGAAATGTCGGCGGCTCTTGTCAATGGTAACAGCACAGCGCATCGAAAGTGAGAAAAACACAAGGTAAAGCAATGGTTAATAAGAACTACTACACACCGCTTCATTCGTCATAATTATACTGTGTACTTGTATCAGTGTAAAGAAACCTTTTTGAATGGCATTTACCCAGTTCAGCCGGATGGAAGTCTACTAATCATACCAGGCCATACCCTAGTTCTAGCACACCTTTTCCCATCACCACAAACGAAAAGTTTCATGGCACTCTTAAACTTCATTCTTAGCGAATAGACATAAAAAACAGGCAATAAGGCCGGATTTTGTGATTGTTGTGTGGCTCGAATTCGCGACACTAGTCGCCCAAGTTGACAAAAGTGCCACAAGTGCAGCGTCCCCATAAATCACACAACACGATTCATTTTTCCTATCCCTCAGGGCAATCCATACAAAATGAATGTTTCAACTCTCAGGGAAATTGAGAACGCAAAGCTGTCCTTCGACGGTTGAAAACTTGTGACAATTACACTGGAACAGACAGGTCGCAATTGTGTCAACAGCGAAAAACTTGAAATAATTTTAATCTCCAGTTTAACAGTGCTTCTTTGCTGCAGGCAGTTCGTCCGGCAAGTCTAAGAAAGGTGAGATCGGAGTTTCATTTCGTAATTCTCGAAACTTGGTGTCATTTAGTTCGTAGCCACTGTAAAATTATATTTCACGCTAATTATAACGCAAAAAGACATGCTTTAGGGCGTCAAGAACGTACTGCTCGTACACGGTAAAGAAGTATTAAGCATTAAGCTTTTGAATTAAGCTAGTCAAACATGGCCTGTTTAATTACATGGAACGTGCTCTCTGTAGCGAGGCAAAGATTTCGGTCGAACCGGTAAAGAGGTTAAAGTATCTCGATAAAAAAGCATTACTACGCCAAAAACACCTTGGTCGAGAAGTATGTTTGCGAGAAAAAAGAAAATGAAGAGTGACAACGACTAAATCTTGCACGTATGGTCCGAAATAAACAGTTCTTTCTCACGATGCCTTGGTGAGCCCAGAGTTATATAACAACTTCCATGGTTGACTTCGGCCTATTGTTAAAAGCCGCCATGAAACTGTCTTTGTTAGCTCAAAGCTCAAGGTTGAATTCTATTTATATATTTCTATTTCTATTTTTTTTGTAGTGAGCTATGAATAGCCTCTCCTCCAAGGTTGACTGCCTCTTAAGTTCTCATGATAGGGATGGATTATTCCAAATAGCCGGATCTTAAATGGCAGACGATCGTTGTATTGAAACTCGTTAGGTTCTGCCTTCAAAGCATTCAGAATACTGACAAATAAGGTTATACTCTAACCTCAAAGCATTCGGATTACTGACAAAGAATAGCTAAACAGAAAGGAAAATTTTTGGTACGATACTTGGGGGTATACTCTATTTATAATCAAGAAATAAAGCAAATTGGACCGCTTGAAAGGAAGCACTCGTCACAAATATGTGTAGTTTTTTCAGCACAAAACTCCTGTTTCAAGATGTCAGAAATCGCCGAGAAAAACTGTGCAAATGCTGAGTTTTAATGAGTGGAAAAATACACACGTAAACGACACACTTGATGTCTGAGAACCACTGTGGAATCGTGTGTAAAGCGGTAGGGCCAGTTTACTTAGACCAAGAGAAAAAAGCCAAAACAGTCCTGCCTGAAGGCGTTGGAAGTTGCATGGAGACATCGTTGAAATACATGTTTAGGAAAGTTAGAGGCTATTATCCACTTAAATTGATTTTTTCTCAAAGTGGAATTTGTGTTGTTTATTTGGCATTTAGAAAGCTATACAAAAAGCATAATATATCCTTTGTTAAACTGAATTCATGAGTCATCTCGACTTCCTGTTTGCAGATTATCAGTCTATATATTACAAGAAGCCGCTTAAGTTTAACAAAACTACTCTTCAACTTTGTAACACTCTTTTTAAGGAACCAAAATTAAATGTGTGTTTGCATCCTGTCCTTATCAGTATGGACAATGACTTAAGAAAAACTGCAAGGCAGTTAAAAGGCTTTTTGTTATTATTTTTGTTGATATACCAGTGTGACTTATTACGGTTTTAACCATCTCCCGACAAAATGTTTTAAGAATTACCCACTGCCTAAAGTGACAGGCTTGTTTTCAAAAATTACAAAGAAGGAATTACGAGAAGGCGCAGCCTTTTGAACATATAACAAACAATAGAGTACCTTCGGCGGTCGGTAGGGACATATTGTGCACATATTGCACAAGTCTGAAGGTTGTAAAGAGGAAGGTGCAGATCAGCGTACACAGAAAAAATTCTTCGTGATAAATTTGAAAAACTATTCATTTGAAAGACCTATGAGAGAATAACTGACAAGGGATAAATGATTCCCAGAGTAGTGAAATAGTGAGTAAGAGCAATGATCAAATTATGAAGACAGGTGGTTAGGTCAGGTTTCTAAAGAAATATGCTCACCGTTAAAAAGGTTTATTTAATTTAGTTTACTGGCTAAGACCTAAGATTTTCTTTGGTATGTTCGTCAACGATTAGTTTTCAAGAAGGTTTAATTTCAGCGCGTTTTGAACACGAATAATTACTATTATTAAAACTTGGAAAAATAAACAAGGTTAAGAATTTGAATTTCCTATTTTAAAAAACAAGAACGAGACACGGAGACGCAAGGTGACAGCAAATTGACAACGAGCTGTCCCTTTTGCCTGAAGCCAGTGAAAGGTGTTAAAAAGTCCACATCACTGAGTAAACATCATGAAATTATCATACATGTCGGGAACACTTTTCACACTAGGGAAAAAAATACAACCTAGGGAAAAAAACCACTCTCGTCCATTTGGATCTTAATGTCTGAGGCAAGGAGTTACTACCGTTCGTAATAAGCAAGATATTGCAGTTTTACTCGGGCATTCGAACTTGACTAGCACTAAACAAATAAAACAGCGAAAAACACAGCAAGTAAAAGCTGCTTCCCACAGAATGCCATATGTTAGTTAGTGAGACATACCCGGAAAAAATGTGCGTGACCTACAGAAAACTACGAAATAGCCGGATGGCTGGTAACTAATTTTAACTAAAGAGCTAGCCATGCGTCTCTCAATTCAGACATCAGCTCTGGATATGCCGTGTGAAAAACCTGCAGCTGATGCTTTACAGAAGGCCCTTCCTGATTTATAATTCCTGACGCAAAGCCTAAAATAACGCCAAAACCCCCCTCCCCTCGCCATCATATATCTATGACAACTGGGTGCACTAGTTAAACCATTGGGACAAATGCAATAAATTCTGCCTTTAGCAATGGACAGTTCAGAGTCTCCTTGTTTAAGGCAGATTCTAAGGCTAAATATAAGATTAGATAAATTGGGCGGCTGGTAAGCTGGAAGATTCCTCAAAAAACTAGAGTACTGGCTTCGACGAAACAGTTTGGGTATTACATTTAACAGAAACAGTGAGAAAAAACGAACAGCACCTCAAAAAAGAGTTACATCCCCGTCCCTCGATGCCTTTCTTCGAATCTTCTTTAGTATTTCTCCGTGCTAAATTGCAGTGAACATCTTTAGATATTAAGCACTCTAGTTTGCCCAAAACAAGAAATATTGTTGAAAAAGAAAAAAAAAAACAAAAAACGCGAGCACTAGGAATAAGTTATTTATTTGCTTTCGCTTTTGATAAGAGCGGCTTATTCTCGAGTGGTTGGATATGTTTAATGTATGTGTGTGTTTTCCTTTTCAAAATGGAAACAGAACCCCACCGAGAAGAAGCAGGGATGCGACAAGGAAAAACTGAAAGGTTCGACGCTGGGTAGATCTTCAAGTATTATCGCTGTACTTGTTTAAAAAGCGGTTCTTCCAGCGGCACACCGGCACAATTAAAGCAATTCAATAGCCATAATTCGGAATACTCAAAGAGATCAAATAAAATGTTTTCTAAACAGCCGCGAAAAAAAGTCGAGTCTTAGTACCAGAAGAATCAAAGGCGCCAAAAACTGGCACGATAGGCAGAATCCGTCAATATATCTAACAAAAAAAGTTCAGCTTGATATAATATGCTTCAGGATTTTGATCGAAGATGAAAATTAATTTTCACAAAATTAGCCTAAAATAGCAGGTGGTTGGTATAACACATTTGCCTGTCATAGTAACGACCAAAGACTTACAAGGAACGCGCGCGACCCCGACAGCCTGCTAAGACAAACCACGTGTATATGGGGCTTGATACAAAATCCTAAGGTCAGCGTTCAAAGTAAATATTATATTACAGACTTGTACAAATTGAAGAGGGCGTTCGTTCAAAGCTGTCCTATGAGGAAATCCCCAGGTTATCTTTCCTTTTGTTTGTTACACGCTGTATGTATTGTAGTGAAAGCTGCTTAATGACATAATTTTGTATCGTTTTCTGCCCATATTTGAAAGTTAAAAAGTCCGCGTGATTCATAATTTGCTTTCCACTTCCCTGGATACAACATCCTGCTGGACTATCCTGTCTTGAATACTTACAGCACATCATTTTTGGTTGGTAAAAAAAAAAAGTTTCAAGTGACTAGGTTTAATTTCTAAAAGACTTCATAAACGCTTCTAGACGTACATACCGACACTAAATTGCTCAACCTTTTCATAAGACCTCATTTTAACCTGTAATCACTTTCGTTCGTAACTTGACCACTCGAAGTAAAATTCCTCAATGCATCCACGAAACTCCACAAAGACAGCTCAAGTGCTTTTGTGAAGTTTCGCAAACGTATTGGGGGGGTTGTGAAAATTTAAAAGGAATGGAAAGCCAAGCAGCTCAGTGGCATCAACCTCAGTACCTATTCAAATAATCCCGTCGACATTACGCTGTTTGATAAAACCTGCTTTGCCAGTTCTCTGCATTTTGACGTTGGGTATCAATTTTCCTCTTATAATCGTCAGGTTGCAGTTCTAGGTCGGGTTTGGGCGCATTGCAGATAGCGTTCATTGTTATTTGTCGTTTGGCTTACTAACAAGCTTCCCGGGGTTTGTCTGCAGCAGATTTGAAGGTTAGCTATTGAGCGCTACCATATAGCTTTTCTTGGTCAATAGTCTTATTTTAAGTCTGACTATAGTTCGTTTCATAGTGAATGTTACCCAAAGAAAAATTGAAAATCTTTGTTTAGAACACGTTAAGGGGACGTAGAGAAAGTTGTTTTAGTCAGTTACTCTAGTAACTGATTGTTCTTCCAACTGGCAGTTAAAATATCATCCAAACCCTTGTGGGATATTCCAAAAACCTTGGACGCAGCTCCCTTAAGCTATAATCTTAAGCTATCACCTTAAACCAAACCAAAGTCTGTTTGAAATTCTATATTTCCAAGGACAAAAAAAAAAATTGGAAACAAAAATGCTAAGGAACATTTCATAGTTTCGCCAGAATTTCTCGTGGAATATCTGTAAACTGGTGCAGTTTTTTTAAACTAAACCATATAGCTAAGCGTATGTTCCACAGTAAATGAAGTATTGTATTGAATTGTATAGCATAAAACGAAACAAAATCAAGGATAAAGCTTGTTGCCCAAGCCCAGTGTTATCAAAAAGGAAAGAAGCCCAAGAGAAAATATATTTTTTGTGGGGAGAATGTCTATCTACTAGTTACTGTGTGGAAGGGTTAAGAAATCAATCTTGAAAGGAACTATTAAGCCCTAGAGAAGTGTCCACACTATCACACGGAAGATGTTTTCCCTAGATTCAAGTTAAACCAAGTAAATAGTTTTGAAATGTGGCCGCCCTGTCGCCATGTTGTCAAAGGAGGAGAAATGCAAACCAACATGCAAAGAGGAAGCATGGAAGAATAAGTAAACGCTTAGAAATTTAAATAAGTTACTGAATGAAAGACTTGGCAAAATTCTCTTACTAAACCCTATATAAAAAAAAAAAATTTCGAACCAGTCTCGATGGTTTCGCACTTTTCCTTTGACAAAACAGTAGAACATTACGAGGAAATAGTCACGTTTTTGTTGGATGTTACAAAAGTGTCTTTATGTAGAGGATGCTCCGCAACAGGAATCCAAGTTAAAGGAGTTCCTCATTGCAAGAAAATTTCCGTGAACTAGGCTTTGACAATTGTCTTTTGTATGTCACTCGGAGGTAAAGCCGATACCTACCATAACACTACATTTCATTTGCCAGGGGACAAATTAAGGGCGTGTTTCACTAGTATGTGCTTGACACATTTTTAGAATACAGCGTCCTATTTTCTGTCTTGATAAAAGCATATAAAAGAAAATACATTAGACAACACACAGGTTTTTACAGAAACCAGCGTTTAACCATAAATGAGCTCCTTCCATGCAAACAATCCTGAAGTGGCGTTAAGTCACGTAAGGACTGGCAAGAAAGCTTCGATTCAATATATTTTTTTTTAATATACGGTATAAATAAAGGCTTTGGTTAAGCAGGTTTATGTTACTATATGAATTCAACTTGATCTTGGTTCACTGGGTTCGTAATATCAGCCCTTTAAATTCATGCGGCCATATATATTCAGGAGCCAATTTCAAAGAACAGAGCAGGGAGACTCTAAAATGAAATAGCGAAACTCTGTCTAAAAGAGGCTGCTCGATAAATGTGAGAGTCAAACTGCACTAGTTATAGTTTTCTAATGAGACTTTTTATTTGATTATTTTACTGTAAATTGTTGTGGAATTCGAGTTGAATGCAAAGGTTGTCTTTCACAGAGCCTCTTGGAAGTCAATCACGGTACCTCATAAAATAAACTCAGTATCTCGTAAAATAAAATCAGGATCAGTCAGTACACAAACACAAAATTAGAACCACTCCGTTCAAAGCAAGGCATTTATTTCGTGGAGTTGAAAATAACGATACTGCTAGCGTTCATTCTTCACCCAGCACCTCTTAAATTTCTACTCTGAAGCTATGCGAGAGAACAAGACAAGGCTTTCAGTTGTTATTTCAAACTTATTTTGTTATGTGTTGTTTAATATTAAATATGTACAAAAACCCAAGTTGGTGCTCGTGTTAATAACAAAGACATTGTTAAGGATTGTAGTTGGCCTAGCATCAGGTTACCTTGCGACTACCACGGAAATTTGGCGAGAAACATGTAAGCCGCCATAACTATGGTCGTTAACTAATATTAAGAGGTTAAGCGCTATGCTAATATGGAATGTTGGATGTTGCTGAATGTTTTGCCCTGAGCTATCCTTTTGTATTGAATGCAATAGTGCACTATTTTGACGTAAAAATTCTGTTTTTTGAGGCACAGATGAGCTTAATCTTGTATTTGATTTCAGAACATTTATGCTAAGTATTATTTTATTTCGTAGCCAGCGAATAATCTCTTGTTTTGTGCTTGTTTTACTAGTACACACGTGAACAATACAAGAGCTGCTTGAAGTATTTGGCAATCCTTAGTTGTAACATGCAGCATTACAATGAACAAGGTTCCTTTAATTTAACACTGCCGTTTACCAATCTGCTGCAATGATACGCAGGCAGTCCACATCATTTAAAGATCGTCATTCATGCTGACAGGACAAGCCGCCGCTGCTGCATGTCAACCAAACGAAGAACCCCTCATATGAATAACTGAAGCTAATCACTGAACGCTAGAGTTGGCCATTTCTGATGAAAACTTAAGAATGTCCACCTCGGGAACGACTTCACTGCCCCTATATGAGATTGACTTGAACTGCTGATACATTGTAGGGGATGTAGAAGTCACTATTCAAATTGTCAACATGTCGTTATATCTGAATATATTAAATATCATGTTTGATTCTTGAGTTTGTTGTTATGCCCTGTTTATGTTGTATTATATTGTAGGAGTCTTAAGTGCAGTTATAGGTCTTACAATTGTGCCGAAAGAGACGTTTCGTACAAAACTGGACAAGCGACACCAACCAGGGGAAACTGTCGACAAATGTTTTGATTTGAAATACCATAATAACTACCGTAGATGAAGTCCTTGCCGAAACACCGCTCGCAGTTTCCTAACTTGTCCCCTGGAAGTCAACTTTCATTTCTTCTTAAATTTATTTGCGTTTTAATATTGTCAAAACAAATTACTTGATTATTACGACGCCAAGTTTCGGTCTGATAGTCGCAGACCGACATCTTAGGCAGTAAGCGGCTTAAAATAGCTACTTTCGTAGTGGTAGCCTTTATTGCATATCTTGGAAAGCAAAATAAGGTGTTGATAAGATTTGAACACTGCTGCAAAATACGTCGAAACACGAAACAGTCATGTCAAAACACTATTAATATTATCTGATTCAAAAATAGTGTGAATTGCCAATTTGTGTCAACACTTCGCCGAGCTGCGTTCTCGCGTTAGATGCCCGTCATACATCGGCTGTCAACTGCAGTTAAATATCTTCAAAGGGAGAAAAGAAGCGCCCTTCATCCGAATTAACCCTCGAAACATCAGCCACTGAGATCCGACGACATAATCCCTTTACCAGGATACGAATGTTTACATAGGGAAATGTAAACAACCTGACTCGCGGCTAAATATTTTTAGTTGCTTTCAGAAAAGAGAATGATTCCTTTATTGCAACAATTAACGTAATGGTTGTTTGTCGTGCTATGGTATATTGCTTAGGTCAACAACCAACGCTTGAGTGGCAGCAGGCCGGTGACACTAACGCTGTGTAGCAAATGAATTTCGCTCTGATCACTTGTGACTTAAACTGATTGCGATGGTCTTTCACGCAACACGAAAAACTTAGATATTTGGCTCAAAGACGACTTCGTTCGTAAGCGACCCTAAAATATTATGTCGTGCAGAAAGCCGAGTGAATTTTATCGAAGAATATCAGCTCAAAAATCGGATACGATCTGTATCATGGATTTCCTTTACATGAATAAAAATAGTTGCCTGCCCATGGCCAGTATACATCTAAAACAATGGAAAACAAGACTACTGCAATATCTGATGGAGTTTATTACTGCAGAGGTGACGATAAAAACTCTCATTCAACCAAAGAGAAAAAAAGAACATTTGAAATTTTACAATTCATCCGAGCGCAAACTCGAAGTTAAAGCAATTTCAACTAACAGCCAAAATCTTGAGTTTTATTTTTGTAGCAAATGAATAAACGCGTTCAAAGAGGTTTCGCTTTTGGATCAAAAAGCTTGGATCTTTTGCTAGGAATAAGGCAAGTAGTACTCCTTCATTGTTTTGCCACCCACGGTGAAAGGGCTTTCCCGAAGCGGACATTCAGACCACTAATTCATCTACGAGCCAATATGTTTTACGTTGACGACCCATTTTAGCCGAAGGCGATATTTTCTAATTTTCGTTATCTTGTCCTTTCTTTAAGAATCGCGTCGTAGGGTGCCAGAAAAAACAGTAATTAAGTTGAAGGGCGAAATCAAGAGAAAGAGAAATAACCTTGGCAACTACAACCTGGATGAATTTGGCAATGTTTTCAATTTGGCGTTCTGGGCTACTTTCAAACTCTCACCGCAGGCAAGTCGCTTACAAATTGCAGTGTTTGAATTCATCTTTGTCTGCAAATTATTTAAATCTGACCCGACACACGAGGAGCCCTAAGGTAAAGAATAGAACGCGCTTCTTTGCGGCTTCTTTAAACAGGTTGTAGAAGATTCTGTCGACGATCAATTAAGAAATGAAAGAAATGACGCTCGCTTCCCTTAATTTTTTTAAAAAAATAAAACGAGGAAAACATACATTACATTTTTGACAATGACCCGCGCCTGAAAAAGAAAAAAAAGCGGCTTAATGGCTCTGCTTTAATATCGTTGTTTAAATATTTTAATTTGAGGTATGCCGCAAAGGGGACTTACAGAGCAGTAACATAACCAGAGATACAGAAAATCTTGTCTACATAATGGCACAATCAACGTAAGAAGAAACAAGACAGAAGCTTTGTCCTCCGATTTGTCTTTTCAAATGCTGTTTCGTCTATAAACCTTTACCTTGGGGTGTGAGAACACAAAACAAACATCTCCCACGCTCGTTGACAGTAATGGCGTGTTATTGTGTAGGAAAACCTCCCCGCAAACACACAAATGCAAACTCAAATTTAACAGCTCGAAAATTAATCTAGGAAAGAAAACAGAGTAGTTCTTTTCCCAATAGATCTGGCGGAAGAAAATCGGCTTTCGGTAATAGCGTTAGCAAATTTGCATTTTACCAAAATTAAATGAGTCTGGGAAAAGAGTTGAGAACATTCATAATTAAAAAGGCCCGTGTGCCGGAAACTTCTAAAGATCTTTTCCCAACCAGACGTAATAAATTTGAATGTCTCACACAGACTGTCAAAGCAGCTCAGTGGGGTTTCCCGGCTCGCACAAGGGCTCATCACGGGAGATTGAAGTCCTGGAATACAATACTTCCACCCAAGGGGGACCGAGTCAACGTCAATAAATTATAGAACCACGAGAATGAATATTAATCAACACGTAAAAGAAAGGAATCGAGTCTTAGTTTCTCAGTGCCAGTTTAAAAGAGTATTTATGTGCAGGCCTTTAAAGAGAGTGCCTTTAGCTATAGAAAGAACATTAAAAAAAAAACTGTTGTAAGAATACGCCTTTTCTTCAGTGTAAAAGGCCTAAAGAAACAGCAGGGATTCAGGAAAATGCTGTGCCCCGTACTAGCCTTGATTCATTATCGCCCCGTAGAAGATGACAATGTAACAATAGATTTAAGCGAGAATCGATAACAGCTATAATGAAAAAAAGTAAGCGTCCTCAACACAGAACCTTTCATGGATACTATTTAAATTCACAACTGGAGCCTTCCATGTTCAGCCTTCTCTGAATGAACAGAAAGAGCTTTGCGTCAGAGACAGCAACTTTAGGAGCCGTAGGGGAAGCAAATCACATCCTTACAAACGAAATAGAGCTATGATGACCAGAGCGTTACTTGCAAATGCAAAATAATTATTTTGTTTGCGACAGCAAAACGATCTTTGGTCCTGTATGACGCTTGCATAACTTCCTTATCGGCCATAATGTTTAAACTAGTACATCCTTCCATGAACAATTATTAGTACGAAAAATCGACAATTCTTAAATAAAATAGCTTAAGGAAAAGATGTCAGTCAAACAGGGCACTATACACAACTCGAGAGGGGGTACCCTCACGGGCCCAATATCCCAGACGGAAATAAAAGGAAAATTTTGGTGTCGCGGAAGCAGGATGGAAGGGGAGGACAAAACAGAGAGAAGTCCTCGTATCAAGGTTGACCATGAAAGTAAACCCCGAATAATTAAAAATTAACATGCTGAAGTGCCAAAATCTAAAGGTCTCATGACAAAGGCACACGATAGAACCAAGATTCAAACATGTACCTGCAATCTACCCAAAGACTGCAACGCTTCAGTTCTCAACTTAGTTCTCTTTAAGAAGCTTATGAAATATTTAAAGCATGGGGCACAATCATCCGCACTTAAAACTAAATCCTGTAAAAAGGAGTGACCGAAAGGCATAAAAGAGTTACAGACAATGTCCAGAATAACTAATGCTAATGAACGGAAACATAAGAGTAGGAATAAATCTTTGTAGGCTATAGCGTTCTCAGGGCGCGAAGCTATATAGAACTAGAGCTCCCCACGCGAACAAAAATGACGGTTTCATTTCCGGACATTTTTCCATTGATAAATAAAACAGCATTATCCACAATTTCTGGAAAAGTAAACAACCTTGTAGTGGAAATACAAGAATTTCTTTCCGGGAATTTCTGCACCATTAAATTTTAATCCCAGAATTTCCGAAATGTGCGGTTGAATGGTTCCCATTTTGGAAATTTTTCAATTTCCGGGTTTTTCGGAATTTCCGTACCATTTGCCCCCGTTTTACAACTTCCGGAGTTTTTGGTTGAATAGATAGCGCTCAATGTTCGCGTCCGTCCAGTTTTTCAGGGCGGTGTCCAGTTATCCTTCACTTGTCATTACGTGTTACCGAAACAACAGAGTCAAAGTTCAGGTGTATTTCAGATTATAGATACAGTAAACAGAGCAGCACCCCTCCTGTGACCAGTAGAAGCGTTTCGTAAAGCCAGCGCTTGCTTTGTCTTTGTCTGTAAGCAATGCGCAAACTATCTAACTTCTAGGTGCAATTAGCGAGAGGCACCGTGGCCGAGTTGGCGCTAGCCTTGCTATCCAGAGGTCCCGGATTCAAACTCTCCATACTATTCCTGACTGAATTTGTTTCCGGTGGTCATAAATTCAATTCCTTGGTCAAGCCTTGTAAATAGCCAAACGGTTTGGCCCGTACCAGTTGGGATCTGTAACTACCATGCATGTTATGTACATTTACTATATTTGTTTCAGAATTCGTTGACATCGACCCGGAAAATTCTTAAAAAGTAGTCAATTAAGTTATTTATTTATTTATTTATTTATTTATTTTATTTTTTATTTGGCAAAAAATCTGGGCACAGTTTAAGAAATTTATTTTGACTTGTCTTAGCGTTACGAAGATCCTTTCAACCATTGTTAAAGTGCTCAGTAGCTATTTTAAAAAGGCTGTTGCCAGGAAAACAAACAAACAAACAAACAAACAAACAAAAAACACCAGTGAAGAAAGTTGGTCTATCGAACAAGCTTAAAACAACTTGACGATCGCTACTACATTTAACACATATCACATCCCCACATATTCCCTTGGAGTGTTTTCCAACGATCACTGCGAGCCACTAACAGCATGGACTGGATGAGCAACCCCTTACCTTGCACTGATGGATCCGTCAACGAACCAGAATCAAGCAATACTAAATGGCGGTGTTACGCAGACTGGACAGTCACCCTCATTTACAGAATATTGGTTGACAATTGTAAATTCAACACGTGATGGATGTTATTTTTCGATATGCAGGTCAAAGTTACTCGCAAAAAAATTTCGGACAAAAAAGCGTCCGAAAACAAACCCAGCCGAAATTTTTAAACCTCCGAAATTTTAAGCGTCCGAAATATTTACAGCACAGTATAAAACTTTTAAGTAGCTCCAAAGCTGTTAGCTTCCTTTATGGAGCGAGCTCTAATCCACCGCGGGAAAAAAAATGGCGGCTGTACATTTTACCACAATGCCTCGCGAACCTAACTCAGCCCAAAAGGCACGAAGCAAACCTTATAATTGCAATGTTTGTCCCTGTACAAAGGATATTAAGTAGCCTAGGTTTGAAGATATTATAACGTTTCTGTACGTTTTTATGAACGTTGTTTAGGTTTTCGTGCGCTAAGAACTATGGGTAAATGTACCAGTGGCCATCTTTTTTCCTACGTAGGATTGTGACACTGTTTGAGATACATAACGGCTTGATAGAATTTGTGTTATTTTCCTGTCGATGTATTTGTAAAACCTTGAAGGTGCAGTACATCTACCATTTTCAGGATGTTGTTTCAGTCTAAAACGTGTTTTGTAGGCGGCGTAAATTCACGTGAGCTTCGTTTCAGCAAGGTTTCCGAAATTTTTGTCCGCCTGAAATTTTTCCGAAGTGAGATAAAAAGTATTCGAAAATTAAACGTCCGAAAATTTTTGTAAGTGATGTACGTGCATCCTAACCTTAAATGGCTGGATTTTGTGCTAGCTAGACCTGTTTCATAAACTGCTACTGTGTTCCGCTTTTTCCCAAATAAAACATTTTCTGTATTTGCTAAAATTCTAAGCAAGCATCCTGCAGCATCTCTCCGTAATTAAGTCATGAGACTTGTTCTCCATGAACGGTTATCGGGACAATACTGCCTGGTTATCTAATCGCCTGCTTGCTTGATTGACTGTTGATAAGATCAGAATCTAGATGTTCAGCATTAACATTCCTCGAAGTCCAAACTCTCAGATGAAATTTGGTGGGAATATCGTTTTCAGTGGCATGAAATAAGTCATCCATATTGTGAATGTGAGACTGATGAAAGAGGGGTCTTCAATCTTAAGTTCAGAGTAAGAGCCAGAACACAAAACAAAGGCAGGTATGGTAGATTAACCGGCCAAACTTCGGCTGCCACATATGATTACAGCTGAGAAGAGAACATTCCCTAGTTCATTGGCCTCAAAGGTAACTCACTTAATATAAGAACGCTTTCTGTAGCGCTTTTGAATAGCTGTGACACTGAGTCGGAACTAGAGAGACGTGGCACCACCTGGGCCGAGGCAGAAAGGACAGCCCAGAGTGGAGTGAGATGGAGGAGAGTCGTTAATAGCCTATGCTCCATCTGGAGAGTCATTAATAGCCTATGCTCCACTTGAAGTGAAGGACCTAAGTAAGTAGTAAGTTCCTGGAGCGCTTGAGCCAGGATTTCGCAGGGGTCAGATATTGAAAAACTCGATTTATGTATATGTATACTTAATTATGTATATGTACACTTAATTAACGTCCTTGCTACAAGGTGCCAGTTATCAAAACCATTCAACCAAAATCAACTATATTTTGTGGCGGTTTGTCGCGCTTCCCGACAGTTGTTTTAGAGGATGCTCTTTGCAAAAATCAGTTCAGTCAAGGTGAATGGAAGAAACTGGCCATCAAATATCAAATGGAATATCATTGGACACGCTTCTTTCAAACGTCTAACTGACGGGACTAACTGAAAAATCGCAGTTAAAAAGGGTTTGTGTGCTGCGTTCAAACACGATGATCATTTAAAAGGGTTTTTGAAAGACTGCAGTTCAGAGTAGGAGCCAACCCTGTGCAAGACACAATAACATGCAAGACATGAAACACGCGACCATACATACAACAGGGTGGTGTCCAACTACCCTTCACTTGTTAGTCAGAGTCAAAGTTCAACTCTATCTCAACTCCACCAAGTTTGCCATGAAGGTGAGAAGAAAACTATGTAACCAGTTGTACAGACAAGTGACCATATGCCTTTGAAAAGTATGGGGCTCCGTGAACTATGAACTGCTGCCGCAGTTGCTGTCCTCTATCCACATCATGTGGAACGGATGGTTAAGAAAATGGCCTCAGGGGAGGGACGGACGAGAGCAACGCCTACGTCCACAGTGCAACACTCTTGCTTGAGACAAAGCAGCGTATGAAAAAAGTCGACAGGCAGAACTTCATTTTACATACATCGATGAAACATTTCCTACGTTGACCACAGCACTCATAGTAATTTAATAAGACCTGGGAAGACGACGCTCCTTCCATAAAGTTATCATGGGCACATGCTTTACAGGGTCGTAGATGGTAAAAGGCAATCCGAGGCATTAAATACCTCAGTCATTTGTTTTGTTTTCCATTTTTTTGTTGTTTATAGTCATCATAGACACCTTAAAGACCTAGGAAGAGAATTCAACTATGGCATGAGCAATGCCTCAGTCTTATTTTATTCATGTACATTGCCTCAGTCGTAATTTTTTTCTGGCCACGACTCTGTTACACAGCATGATAGTTAAAGGAACTTTGCCGGATACGAGAAGCAAGTAATGATAATGCAGGACTCAAAAGATTCCTAACGATACAGAGAAAACTGAGTCTTTGCATAGATAGTCCATTAAATAATAAATGTTCCTCTAATTTCTCAAGCTCAGAGTAGGAGCCAACCCTGTGAAGGACGTGACGTTATGCGTGAAAGACATAACGTTATATCGCGTAGGTCGCGACTATCCTAAATCGGGTGGTGTCCAACTACTCCAAGCGTTTCACAGAAAGATCGGGAAATTAAATAATAAAGTCTATTATTTGTCCTATAGTAACCTATATTAAATTGAATATATGGTGTTTGTGTAAAAACTATTATCCAAATAAAATAAATTAATATTGTTGTCATATTATTATCTTAATGTCGTATTTATTCACTAAGAGAATTAAACGCGCCCTATGCTTTACATAGCCATCATGTCCAAATAGAGCGGTTTTCAATTGGGTGTCGAGAGTAGTTAGACAATTACTTTGGTTTTGGTTTTGGTTTTACTACGGTTTGAGATTGGCTGACTACTCTACGTTTTGGTTTTACGACACTCCATTGAAAACCGCTCTAATTGCGCAATTATCTTTAATCAAAGATTGTCTTCTTCCCGAATTGTAGAGTAGGTACGCACCTTCACGGATAACGTCAGAATGAAAAGGGATTTCTACTCCCCAAAACTACTGGAAGCCCAAAGTAAAACTGAATGAAGTATAAGAGACAGAACCAAGCAACATTTATTTACCATTAATAACGTACGGGTAACTACTCAGGAGGACGAACACATCATTTGCAAGCTAACACGACAAATTTAGGCTACAAAATGAACGTTCACTTACCAAACGGTTTTTGATTCTTTCACTGTCAAAATAGCCTAAGCCTCGGGAATTTAATCTCCTCGAGCCTGTAAAAGACAAAAATAGAGTGAATGAATTCCTCGCGACTTTCGAAAAATAAAAGGGGCATGGTGTGCACGCTGGACACCTAATCGAGCAGTCCGGTATCGAACAATGGCCGGATCACTGTATTGTATTCTTACGTAAGATACATGTACTTGAATCTCACAGTGCTTCTCTCGACCCAGGTGTACAAATGGGTACGGCGAATTTAATACTGGGAAGTAACCTTGCGATGGACCAGCATCCTAGCCAGGCAGGGGGTTGTGTGTGTGTGTGTGTGTGTGTGGGGGGGGGGGGGGGGGGGAGGGGCGGATAGAAATACCACAAGCCGCTTTATGCTTCGGAAAGCGTGACTAGCTAGCGCTGGCCTGATGAATCTTTAAGGTCGTCACACACGAGGGGACTAGTCCTTGCGACTAGTCCCTGCAACCAGTCCCCTGAGGAGTTTACTCGAAGGGACTGGTCGCAGGGACTTGTTCCACGAACAGTTCACACGAAGCGTTCTGAGGAACAAGTCGAAGAGATTTGTCCCAAAAATTCAAACTGGTTTGAATTCGTGGGACTAGTCGCAGGGACCAACCTTTGGTCCCTTCTGCTAGATTTTGAGGCAAAAATGGCCAGTTCACACGATGGGACTTGTCCCCGCGACTTGTTGCAGGGATTAGTCGCAGGAACCAGTCTTCTCATGAATGCCGACCTTTAGGCTCGAACACAGGGGACCCGAACATTGTATCAGCAATAACAATTATTTGCATTCATGTAAAATAACATACTGTTATTTACCTGTGCTCCTGTGTCTTTTTGATCCGTACAGAAGGGATTTAAATAGAAGCAAAGGCGGTTTACATTTCAAACATCATCTTGTCTGCCGCCTTCTAAATATGACGTCGACATTCCGATTACGTCTCGAGTTTTCATTATCGTCATTAACTATTAACTCTCATTTTGTTCGAAACTTTAAAACAAAAACAAAAGCCTTCCAAACTGTATTGTTTAGCTATGTAAACTAAACGATGTAAGTAGTCTTAACTATCATATTGTACTTGCTATAATATGACTATTTTCCTCTTTTAATTTTGTTTATATTTTCCTTTGTATATTGTGTTTGTAAATTAATAATAATAATAATAATAATAATAATAAATATTAACTCTCATCGGGGAAGATTCCCAGGTTTCATAACGGCCGCGCGTGAGAAGAGAAAAGAGGCCTTGTCTCTTTTCTCCTTTCTCTCCCCCGATGAGAGTTAAGTTAATGATGATAATAAAATCTCGAGACGTCATCGGAGCGTCACATTTACAAAGCGGCAGACAAGATGATATTTGAAATGTAAACCGCCTTCGCGTCTAGTCAAATCCCTTCTAAACGGTTCAAAAAGACCCAGGAACACAGGTAAATAACAGTACTTTTATTTTACATGAATGTAAATGATTATGTTATTGCTGATACAATGTTCGGGTCGCCTGTGGCTCGATCGCAACTTAACCCTTTTCTTCGTAAATTAAAATCTAAGTAGATACATGCAGTACGTAGTCCTCTTAGCCAGTCACAACGACCGCAAAGGACACAAGAACCAATAAGCACGAAAAGCAAAAACTTGGCTAGTGACAAGCGCTGGAAAATGTATAAAACAAACCACAGTTGCTTTTTCCCTTTGCGTCTGAACATACATCTTTCAAATTTTTTCCTTATTCCTTGGTTTTACGACCCAACGAAAACACAAAGAGCAAAAATCCTTACGAAGCAGTTTCTTAAACTTAAGTTCGACTCAAATTACCAGCTTCTCTTAATTTTCAAGATTAGATAATTTTGATCGTATCCAATGAAGTTATAACACAATAAAACGTCTCCCCTGAGAAACAGCGCTGATATAACTTTATTCCAGCACTCTTGAGCGCGGTGCTGCAAAGAACAATTGCAAATTTAGCGAGAGATTTACACGTGGTTTTCACTGAAGTTGTTTTTCAAAATATTTGTTGGTACGCTCGCCTGCTTGTCGCCGATTCACCTTGGCCGAAAAGACCGGGCTGGAAAGCAAAAGGCGCGCGCTACTCGCCAGAAGTTGGATGTTTCTACCACTGGAAGTCGTGGGTGAAGATCAAGGATAAGCAATTCTGGACTTATCTTTGCGGAAAATCACTGAAACGAATCTACTCAGAAGCTTGTATTTAAGAGAACTGATGACTTCAGTGTAAATGACAGCGAGAGGATGCCTAGCCGTTTATGACTTTATTTTGCTACAGCCAAAACTCACAAGTTTTTAATGATCACAACCAGATAACCTATTATCAGTACGTCTGGGACAAAATTTTGCGAAACTGTATAAGCCCTATCCAAATATGTAGCAGAGAACCAACACACAATCAAGGCCACCCTTGACTCCGCTGGAAAATTAAAAAACCGAACGATTAGAAGATTAACCGAGATAAGACCCAGTCTCGTATTACGTCACTTCGTTGTTCAAAGAAAGACCCTTGGGTGAACAATCATTCACCTCCTTGACCAAATTAACGAACACCACAAGAGTCATCAAAGGAACCGTTCTCAACAGAAAACTCTATAAACAACTGGATAGTTGCAGTATGGGGAACCCTTTTTACCACAGGTACGTGGAAAGTCCAACGCTCTAGATATCCGGCTTGACAACCTAAATACCTACTACCCCCACAGTAAGTTGTTGTTAAGGAAGACCCGGATCACTTTCTGGATGCTACATCTTAGCACTGTACCAAAAACCAGAGAAACTACAAGTACATTGGAAATAGGCCATCCAAAAGAGGTGGAGGCTTAGCACTGTCCGGGGAACCTTACACCGCGCAGAACAAAGAAGTCAAATTTGTGAAACAGTCTTTCATCAAGTCTGGATATCCTGCAAAATTTGTAAATGAATTCACTGAAGACTTTCAAAACCCAAAGGTGACCAAAAGATTTATTTCAGTTATTAGTTTGAAGAAAGAATTAAAGTCGGAATCCGTCTACCGTTTGCCGCAAGAATGAAGTTGACTGAAAAAAATTCATGAGAAGACTGAACACTTCCACTAGATGGAACTCCACATCATTTAGCAAGCACGCAAGACCGATTCACTCGTCGTTTACAAGGGCACATGACCCTGCGGTCAAACGTTTATTGGCAAAATTGCGCGCAGTTTTGCTAATAAAAACTGCGCGCAGTCTTGCCAAAACCAAAAAAAAAGAAAAAAAAAAAATGCGCGCAACCTTCAAGTCCGTGTTAAGGAACATTGTGATGTCAACAAGCAATCACAGCCAGCCAAACCCAAAGGTGACCAAAAGATCCATTTCAGTTCACCAATTAAAGTCGGAATCCGTCTACCGTTTGCCGCAAGAATGAAGTTGACAGAAAAAACTCATGAGAAGACTGAACACTTTCACAAGATGGAAATCCACATCATTTAGCAAGCACGCAAGACCGATTCACTCGTCATTTACAAGGGCACATGCAATTGCGGTCAAACGTTTATTGGGAAAATTGCGGGCAGTTTTGCCAACCCCAAGTCCGTTGTGATGTCAACAAACAATCACAGCCAGCAAAACACACCAGAGAACATCGAAACCATATTTTCGCATGGTAAATTTTAATCATGCACTGTTCACTCTTGGATGAGACTAAGAATCATAGAAGCAGTTTTATATCGCACGTTTCCATCCCAAAGTTAACAAACAAGTACAATCAATTCAACTCACGTGTATATTTTTCCGTTACGTAATCTATATTCAAGCACACCCAGTTTTTTGCCGACACTCTGTTGATGATCTCCATTAACGAAAACGTTCAGTGTGCATAGTTAAGTTAACAGCTTTTTACCTATAATGCTCTAAAAATATGGCCTTGATTGCGCGGAGTGAGCGAGGGAAAGTGTTATGAAAAGTGGTATGATTTGTCGGATAATTGGATCAGAAAAACAACTCGTTAATTTACGCTGAAAGACAATCCCGAAAGCTATTAGTGATGAAAAAACAGGAACACGAAAACTCCAACATTCTTGCGGTGAAACTACATCCTGTGATGATAAGCAATGGTCGACAACAGTCTGGACAAAAATGTAAACAAAATTAAAATTTGAAGTGTGACTTGAATGGCCATAAAGTGCTCCATTTAAAATCCTTAATTGTCCTCAACCAAAATTACCTCTAGTACTCGAACTTTGCAGTCTTCACTATGTAGCAAACTGTGAGTCCAGTTAAACTGGGTCATAAGCACAAGGAGCGCGTTGTGATGAAGATATGCGAGGAGGAGAAGCAAGAGCTGTGTGGTGGTTCATATTTCATGATATAAACACTCGTTTAGAACTAATTGTTTTTCATGGCCCTCAGCAATTCATTTGACCAGGCTGTCAAAATCAAGCAATTTAGATTTACGAAACGAGTAAAAGTTACTGAAGACGGCGACATCTCAGGCTGTGTACGTTTCACGCGCTAATCCAGTAAGTTAACGGAATTTCGCGAACAGTCACGAGACTTGCATTTCTGATTAGAAAACCGGAATACCCCAAGAATTGCAAGCCGGCATTACAGAACGCGCAGAGTACCCTGAAAGAGACCTGCAACGCAGAATATCCTGTGAAAACGTCATTTCAGTTCGTTATTAAATGAACAACATATGGTGGAAGGAACAATCTGTAAAATCGCTTACCTACAATTCAATCCGAGAAGGTTGAATCTTGTTCGTGTTTGCGCCTTGAACATGTAATCCAGAATCACTTGCCAGTGTCAGAAATAATTGTCCCTCTCATTTTGACTTGACAATAGCTTCCGTCACAAAAATCACCTGAAACATAACCACTGAGGGAAAAAATAACTGAAATGAATAGTTTTGTGAAGCATTCGACAGCTTAGGAATCTCCAGTTTTCTTTGTGTTAGTGATACCTGTGGGGCATTAATAAGCCCTGGCAAGTCAAAACAATCCTTGAGGAATGTCAAAACAAACAAAAAGTATAAAACCATTGCACTCTCGCGATACGGCGCTGTCCTATGTTACGAGTTTCAGTCCACCCCAGTGAGTATTAAAATTCGGAAAGAACTATACTTCTTTGATTCGCCATCTTCAATTTAAGAAAGTACCAACAGAAACGCACTTTTAATAGAATTCTACGTCTTTTTGGAGGATAGGAGATGCTCTGTAAATCGAGACTAGTGAAATAAACTCAAAACGCCCACTTGTCAGCTTGAAGTGTGGAGGATTTAAAAACGCTTGTTATCTTTACAATTCATACACCACTATCTTCTTTAAGTATGAACATCGCAGTTCGTATTTGTTTTCACAGGTATTTCTCGAGCAGTGATAACTGAGAACATATAACTACGGTTAGCTTCGTGCTACAATATGATGTTAGGCTGCAACCTTTCTCAGACAGTATAATCTGTTAACCAGTAGGCGTTCATCACTTTATCCCAAATGTAAACATAAGATCACATCACACTTACGCAGATGGACCAGACCCGCCAGTCAACTGAAAAACACTTCTTCCACATTTCTGTTTAACAGGGAGCTGGAGATGTACTCCTTGTCACAACGTGTACGCAAGGTAGTTCAATTGAACTTTGGTGTAAAATGTAATTATTACTAATCCAACTTCCTGATTAGGAAAGCTGCCAAGTACAATTGCCCAGTGTTTCAGACAAGGGATGTTTTCTTCACGGGATACAATGCAGGCGTATTTCGGGGGGCGAGCGCGTGCCTTTCGATCAATTGAGCTAGTGGCATCTTCGATTCAAATTCGGAAGAGGCTTGGGTAGAGACTAAAAGGCGTCCTAGCTAGCGGGGAGTGGGGCTGAAAGTGGAGTAAGGGGGTCCTTGCCCACTTTTCCCTAGCCAACATGGCGGCGAATCTACTCGATCACGAGTTAATACCGATAGCAACTCGTAAACACAGGGAAAACGCCTGCACTGCAGGCTAAATGCGCATACACGTAATATGAAATGGTTAATAATTGCCATACATTTGCCAAGTTTAATGTTATTTTCTATTGGACCATTCAGTTCTATACTCCAACATCCCGGGTATTTGGAGTTTCTGGTTGGTCTTCCCCGGGCCAAAAAAGTTGTATGTGCCCCACTATACTAGCGAGAAGACCCCTCCTTACGGGACATGTACAAGGCAAAAATGAGTAATGGAAAAGAAAATAATAATAAAAAAATTCACTGTTGAATATCCGCTTTGAACTTCCCCAGTGTGACAAGCAAAATTTTGTAATTGCCTTTAAACACAGTACAAAACTTTTATTGTCAAGCCACAACGTTACCGTGAACTGGTATTGTCTCTTAATGCCTTGGAGCCTCACCATGACTTCGAGGCAACTTCAGTTCAAATTTCTCCGGCCCCTCCCATATGGTGTAAAATCCCCCATCCTAACAACAAATATCGACGTCGAAATTCCTCCCTCGGGGACCCATAACTGGTCAAATGCCCGGAGAATGCCGAGAAAAGGGATGATGTTGATGTCTCTACTTCATGGAGACATTATTTGGTGGATTTACAGTTCTTTACAATTCAACTTAAGCTTCCCCGCATATTTGCACCGTACAAGCAGTCTGAACCCTGCGTGAGTTTGTAACACTGGTCTGAGACAGTCTTTACCTCCTCCCCTGTGAACAAAGTGTTCAGCTGACTTTGATTTTCCTGAATACTTCACTCAGGCTATATCAACGTCATTTTGGTTCGTATGCTATAAATTTGACAACTTGCTTTCTGCGTCAGCATAACTGAAGAGTGTGAGCACGGCGACCGAAAGTTGCGAACAATAACCCAGCGTATCCTTTATAATCCCTATAGCCGCCTCCCCACCCCTTCCCGCCACATTCTCAAATGACCCCTGCAGAACAAACAAAACGAAAGTAAACAAGAGTACTGCTGTGTTTATAGCGAACTGCAGTCTCCGCTCGTGATCCGTCAGATTTTCGACCTATCCCGAAGGTCAAGGCCCAACGGCGATTTCAACAGACTAGGGGCGAACAACCAGTTGCTATTCCTACCGTATACTTGTGCACTGTTCCCCAAAATTCGACAAACTTTCGAGGAACGTAACCGTGCAAGAATGCTCCAAGTTCGTTATGGCCAAGTTTGCTTGTAACTCAGAACTTCCAAATGGGTTCTACAGCTCTAGGGTGGGAATATTTGTTGGGTCCCTGGTTTTCATTCATTCATTTTCATTCATATGCCGACCTTTCAGACTGACCTTTTATCGATGAAAATCAGTGCCGCAGGGAAGCGTTTCCACCCATTCACTTTCATCTTTTCTGCAAAGTAACCGTGAATTTACGACAGACTTCGCAACTGTTTCGACTTACCTAGTAGCTTGGGTATTTTCCTGTTTCAAATTTTCCAGAATTGGAGAATTTGGACTTAAAAGCCCGAAAGATTATCCATCAGTATCACTTTCTAATATGTCAAATGGCGCTTTGTGGTCAAATGTCCATGGTTTCAACGTTCTCACGTGGGAAGGAATTTTTTTCTCGTCACGTGAGAGCCTCAAAGGTCGAAGGTTAATTCATAGGTCACAGAGCAAAAGCTATGTCCCGTAAACAGAAGACTTTTGCGTGCCTTGCATCCGAAAAACGTGAACATTAGTCTAAACAAAATGCAGAAAATGAACGGTGGCATGCTTAAAATTTGCTATGTAAGACAGAGAAGCCAATGGAAGCACCCACGCAGGCTGACCGTGATATCCAGTGTGTTTACAGTGTGCAGACAGAGTAATCCAACTTTATATAAATTCAAGTCCAATTTTATATAACCGGAAACTTACTATCACCTTTCAGTCAAGCAATTTTATCAAATCAGGACTCTAATGTTTTCGCATTATTGTAGCTTGTCCATAATTCAGTCTTCTATAGCTTTGGGTAGCTGGCCGAGAAGTAACAGGGAAAGGTTAGTTAATACTCACACTCGGAAAACCGAAAAGGATACCGAAGTTGTTCTCCCACTTGTAGGTCACCACAGGATTTAAGAACGGCCGTAAAAGAAAATTTCCTTGCTTAAATAATTTCTTCAGTCCGACTTAAAGTTAAAGTTAGTTTTCACTGTATTCACATCAGCGAGTTTTCTATCACCGGGCCTTTTGAGTTCAGCTGAAACGTTTTTTTTTTTTTCTTTTATAATCATCAGTAAGAATTCAGTCGTACTTCCAGGTGAATCTCGACGGACCCCCGCCCCTTATTACACTGCCGTCAAAACGGAGGCAAGCTGCAACAAACATACGGCTAGAATCACAAGCGATCGAGCGGCAAAAGATTTGTTTTCTACTGAGAGGAGACAGCACTTGTCCGTCCGTACCCCCAGGTTACTTGCCTCATGGCCTCAGCTGCCGCCTTGAATACGCAGGTGTCCACGGAAGATAGTTTAATTAAAGGGGAAGATAGTTTAAAGGTGGCCGCCCCTCACTGTACACATTATGGGTCATGCAACTGATGTAGCTGGGACGTGTCTCGCGGCAGGGACATGAGTCAGGAGAAGGATTACGACTTGCTGGCACACTCATGAAAGTGCAGAAACAACAGTGGTAATTGCGAGAGTTTCAGAAATAAAGACCACAATGTACTGGTCACTTATATGTGGAAGGAAGATGGCGGCCCTCGTTGATAAATCAATCGCAGAAGACCAGTTGGGTGATCCTACTCGCAATGATACCGGCCAGACTTCGTGGAATGTAAGCCAGACTCGTATGCTAATTTTTCATTTCGAGGAAAATGCAAACTTATGGGATAAGTGCCCGAGAGACAACGGCAACAAGGCGAAAACAAAGAAAGCAATGGCACCACTGATAGCCCAATTTGGGAACACACAGCCACCAAGAGGCCTAAAAGAGATTAAATCAACGTGGTATAGCTTGCGAAGCTCCGTATCGAGATAAATGAAAAGTTTACGCTTTCTATCCCAGTCATTCCAATTCAGTAGCGAGACCACGGACTCCTCTGATCTGTGAACGGCCGCCATCTTTTTTTTGCCTTAAGCATCACCGCAAAGCATGCTGGATCTTGTCTCTGATTGGCTCGAATATCCGTTTTTGCTGCAGAGACATGTTGCACAATCGAGCACACGATGATCATGGCGTCTCACGCAAAGTTCTGTCGCTGCGACATGTCCCACGGAGTTCAACAAGTTGAACTCCGTGCGAGATGTTGCCGGGACAAATTTTGCTCAAAATTCATGTTGCACCATAACTATGGTTGCACCAGTGAAAAAGTGTTAGCGCACATCAGGGGATGTGTCACTGCAACATATTCCTGAAACATGTCCCGGCAACTTTTTCACAAGTGTGCTAACTCGGCGATTTGGTCCATGCTACATGCCCATGCTACACATCCCTGCGACATGTCATGGCCCCTCAGTGCGTACGTAACGCGATTTTGTCCCTGCTACCTTTTGCAGCAACATGTCCCTGCAACATGCCCCTTAAATAGCTTTTAAACCGTTTTTCGTTACCTGAAGTCGGTTGTAGTATCTTTTCTGTCTGTTGTCCAACATTGTAAACGAACTTTTCGCTGGTCGGTTGAATGCTGGCAAATAAACCACACAAATCAATGGCAGGCAGCCCACTGAAAGAGGATTAGCGGGACAGAGCAGTAAGCTCGATACATTGGAGCGGCGTGAACAATCTAATCAGTGACAACCCAAGAAAATTTGACGTCACAAACAATTTAAACCACATGACGTCAGAACTTGAGATCTAGACTTGCTCCGCGCGCTGTCATGATAAACACTGTTGTTGTTGTTTTCTTTTCTTTAAAAGATTCAGTTTCTTTATAGTTAGTGTCCTTGATTTGCATATGATGAAACGTGAACTGCGAAAGAAGATTTCTTCTTCGAGAATGTAAAACGAGCCAGCCAAAAAATCAGTGTTCTTCAAGAGGAACAGGCTGGCGCGGACTGGGCAGGAGCGTGGATCTGTGCACATGCAGACTGTTTGTACAGCGGCAATACCAAAAAAAGCACGAGAGCGAGGTCGACTTTCAATGCCACGTCGGCCATTTTGACTGGGTCTTTTCTTGTCTCTCCCGAATTTAATCGATTCTTGTGGCAATCATGGTAAGTTTTTTCTTTATTTATAGTACATTTATAGTACATAAATAATATTTGAGACTGTTATATTTCATTTGTGGTATTTGTGATTGATTTTCGTCGTTTTACGGCGTGTTGCCTTTATGTAATTCTCTCGGCTTCTTGTCATCAAATGTACTGACTGAATTTACATGTATGCTTATAAGCTAAGCTTACTCTAGTTAGCTTAATTTTTTAAACTTTCCTCTTTTCCTTTGCATTTTCCTGGATTCAACAGCCGTTGAGATTAGATGTGAAGGTAAGTGTTATCTTTCAACTGCTTGCCGTCTTATAGAATATTTGTTCTTTTTCAAAGTCAAATTTCTTTTTGATTTACCGGTGTCACAGTGATATGTGTATCCCCGTGATATGTGTATCCCAGCACACATATCACTAGTGATATGTGTATCCCCCGTGGGGATACACAAAACACTGATACGCCTGGGCATTCAATGAACAAAATGGCGACTCAGATGCGAGGTTCCAACTAGCGCTGTAAAGAGTAGGAGAAACCAAAAATGAATTGGCACCCAACGGAGCAGATTAGGATTTCTTGAGTTTGGTTGAGTTCCAACTGAATTGATTGTATATCTGACTAAAACTTCGAACAGCGGATACATGTTTCACTAATTATTTCGTGGCGCAGTGATCTGTGTATCCCCTAAACACAGCCGTTAGATTGGGTATCTACTTGATCGAAGAAAAGGGCCAATTGAAAGGCCGCGTGCAAGAACGTCCCCTAGATTTTT